CTCTCGCATACTCTTGTTTTGGCAGCTGATTCTCAGTGTTTCTCTTTTTCCTTGATGAGGCACTACACACACTTTAACTGTACCTGAAGAGACAGACAGACAGACGGAGAGGGAGACAGATGAGTCTGTAGCTCTTTTAGGTTCTAGCTGAAGAAATAAATGTGACACTCTCTCAGTCTTGTTAAATTATATTAATGAATGTTTCTCTTCATGTACTGAAAGAGAAACGGCACCAATCTGTGTGACACACGTGTGTGTGTGTGTGTGTGAGTTTGTGGGTGTGTGTGTGTGTCTCTACTACATGATTAGCAGCACTCACAAGAATATGATAATCAAAAGTATCAGTGCAGCTTTATTGAATTTATTTGAACAATTTAGTAATTATAATTAAAGTCAATAATTATCAATATTTATTTTACGGAATAATAATAATTATTATTGTTATTAAAATTAATGTTTTGAATTATATATAAATCAAAATTATTATTATTGTTATTATTATTATTATTTTTTATGTGATTGTTTGAGCCTGTCTTAAAACATCATCTTCGTCTGTTAGTTTTTCCATCTCTTTCCTGTATATTTTGATAAAATAAATTAAATGAAACATTTTTTTTTATTTAATTATTTTTGAAAATGAACATTAGCTAAATTGAGCTAATTGAATATGTATAGTATTATAAAATGAATCTAAATTAATATGATATTACAAATTTTAATGTCAGGTAATTTTCAATAATAACTCACTGAAATGAATCAAAAATGCAGTGATGTGGTTGTTATGGAATGGAGCGTCTGTGTTCTGTTGATGTTTGTTTCTGGTTGTTCGCTCACGTCGTTTCTCTTCTTTAAAGTGGACAAACATCACAAATCCATCTCATTGCAATCAGGCCGATTCAGACTATTATTGAGATGAGACCGATCGATACGTAATTTTGCTGCTGAAATGAGCCCCTCATTCTCTGAGAGGAAAATCAGCTGGACTGGAGTCTGTGCTTTGACTTTAATCATGATGTACCTGCATCTTCACCCTGATTTAAAGCTCTAATGATGCTGTCAGGAATGCCGTCTGTCTGTCCGTGGATCCGTGTCGATCTCTCTCGGGTTGAGCTGCAGATTTGACCGGATTATATGGATTTATTGGCAGAGGTCGGATGCTGGCGTTAGGTTTCAGATCCTCTGTCTGCTGCTGATATATTCATATCCCCGACTCTTCACATGAGCTCTGATATAAACATCTGCTGTCTACATAGTCTGCTGCCTTCTGAGGGAGCGTCCTCACTGTAGTGAAGCAGAAGTGAGCCATTTGAAGCATTCTACAAAAGCAACTTACAAATGAGAAATACAACTTTTTTATTTTGTTTTATTTTATTTTATATTTTATTTTATTTCTTAGAAGATGCTTTTATCTACAGCAACGTACAAGTGAGAAACAAGTTTTATTTTATTTTATTTTATTTTATTTTATTGTTTTATTTTATTTTATTTTATTTTATTTTTTAGAAGATGCTTTTATCTAAAGCAACTTACAAATGAGAAATGCAACAAAGATTTATTTTATTTTATTATTTAGACGATGATTTTTATCTCAATATTATTTACTCGTCGTTGTCTTTAGGTCACGTCCCAAAACCATTCAAGCTGGCGGTTATTAAGCCTCTTATTAAGAAACCACAAC